GGAACACAGCCACGCTCAGACCGCGACCTTTAAGCTGTTCTCGCACACAGCTTAAAGGTCGCGGTCTGAGCGTGGCTGTGTTCCACTCCAGCGCTGTCCTCGAGACAGCCTGATCCCTTCACCTGATGAAGGCCGCTTGTGTTGTGGCCAAAACGTCGTGATTTTTTGTTGTTTAATTTTTTACCTATGTGACTTTACCGAATAGAACCAAAGAGTATACCCCCTAGATTCTATGGTCTTCCCAAGATTCATAAAGAAGGCACACCACTGCGACCCATCGTATCCACGATCAACTCCCCTACCTATAGACTAGCCCGTTTTCCGTCAGATACCTTGCTGCCTTTCACTGGCAAGACCGCCTCAGCAGTACTTAACTCAGCCCAATTGGTCTCTATGGTCAAAGACGTCGTACTGTCCCCTGACGATATCCATGTCAGCTTCGATGTGGTCTCTTTGTTCACAAAGGTCCCAGTACCTGATACAATTGAAATAATTGAAAATTTGGTCCAAAATGGACTAGACCCCGATACACCTGCACTGGTTAGGCACTGCCTCAACAATACTTACTTTACTTGGAACGGCTCCTTCTACAAACAAAATGAGGGTACCCCCATGGGGTCCCCCTTGTCACCAGTGATAGCCAATATTTTCATGGAGAAATTTTAATCAGACGCCATCCAGACTTCCACCCTCAGACCTTCCCTGTGGAAGAGATATGTAGACGACACTTTCGTCATTTGGCCACATGGCCTCCCGGCTTTGAACCTTTTCCTAGACCACATTAATTCCAGACACCCCGCCATCAAATTCACCATGGAAGTGGAGAAAGATGGCAAGCTGCCATTCTTGGATGTTCTGTTTGAGAGACTTGATGGCTCATTGGGACATTCTGTCTACAGGAAACCCACCCACACAGATTCCTACTTGAAACCTGATTCCCACCACCACCCGACGCAAAATAATTATCTCATCAAAACGTTATACCACAGGGCTCATTGCATTTCGGACCAACACCACCTGACCAGTGAATTAAAACATGTACATCTGGCCCTAAAAAGGAATGGATACGCTGACCGTACCATCCGCCAAGCTGTTTCTCCCTCCATACAGAAACAACCACTTGATTCTCCGATCAAAACCATCACACTACCATATATAGCAGGCGTTACTAAAAAGATCTCCAAAATTCTAAACAAACACAAGATCCTGGTCTGGTTCAATACAGTACACAAAATCTGTGACCTGATCCCTTCCGTGAAGGATGTCATTCCTGACTTACAGTACCCCGGAGTTTACAAATTGATCTGCACCTGTGGTGACTGTTATATCGGGGAGATGAAACGACATGTCTCTGACCGAATTCGCGAGCACAAATCAGATTTGAAACACGGCAGAACGAATTATTCTGCTGTACCTGATCACTGTTACAACACTGTGGGTGATCACGATATAATTTTCTCCGATACCAAGGTTCTTTGCAAACCCACGGGTTTTCATCAGAGATTTGTTCACGAGGCAATTCAGATTTACAAACACAGACACAATTTCAACCGAGAGGATGGTTTCAAATTAAGCAACCATTGGAAAGATGTTCTGAATCAAACCAAACATTAAACTAATTTTCAATGGTACAGTATATTTTTTCAAGTAGTGGTAACCCAAACTTTCGCAGCTGCTCAAATTCCCTTTTCACACCATCAATATGTAAAAGCCCCCCCTCCCCCCCTGTACATCGTTCATCATGCTAAGTCCGCCAATTAAATGCTATTTTTATGCAAATTCCTTTGTCAAGGCGCTTTGCTTCCTCTCGCACAGCTTAAAGGTAGCGGTCTGAGCTTGGCTGTGTTCACTCCAGCGCTGTCCTCTAGACAGTCTGCTCCCTTCACCTGATCAAGGCCATTTGTGTTGTGGCCGAAACGTCGTGAATTTTTCTTATTTTTTGTTGTTTTTTACGTGACTTTACCGAATAGAGCCAAAGAGTATGGATCCTTGCAGTCAGGGGAGGGCTGTCACCTATCTGTTAGAGCTTTTAACAGACAACGGGACAAGAAGTCACAGCCCATCGAAACGCTGACCTTCCTCAAAAGATGCCGCGATCACAAGGTAATACCCATCGCTTTCACACTCACTTCTGCTGCTGTATCTTCTCTGAATTCTAAACAGATTCTGTTTAAGGCCAGCCTATCTTTAATCTCAGAGAGGATAAGGCTACTCCGATTTGAACTCGATACTTTAGACAGGACTCTCCTACGAGCTCATTTAATGTTAACACAAAAAATGTCACCTTCTGATTGGAATCATGTAGACAACATGACTGCTTCTTCTGCTGATTCACTGTCAGTCAAATGTAAAGCTAACCTGATTTCTAAATTCAACCACCTATCAAAGAAGAACCCAGTTCCACATATAACAAAACTAGACGTCAACAAAATCGTCATTAATCAGAGTAGCACCCCGATTTCGGACAATCTGAAAACAGTACTGGCTAGGGGGCTGAATTTTGCTGTCACCCCAAAACACATACGAGTAGATGATATCATCTCTCAGGTCGATGTAGCCCTCAAAGGCGTAGGACACATCCAAGCAGACGTTGCAAGAGCTGAAATAGCCACTATTCTTAAGAATGCTAAGAAACCCATTAGTAACATCAGCAAAAATGAACGCTCTGAACTCGCGAATTTAAAAAAACAGAAGTGATATAGTCATCCTCTCAGCCGATAAAGGCAACGCTACTGTAATTATGGATAAAGATTCATACAACAAAATCCAGAATCTGCTCAACGATGGAAGTTACTCAAAAATCAAAAATGACCCTACTAATAGCCTAGCGATAAAAACCAACAAGATCATCACAAGTTCGACCTCCCTAATCGACCCAACTAAACGTCCCTCATACTCTTTGGTTCTATTGGGTACAGTCACGTAGGTGAAAATAAAATAACAAAAAATCACGACGTTTCGCCCACAACACAAGCGGCCTTCATCAGGTGAAGGGATCAGGCTGTCTCGAGGACAGCGCTGGAGTGGAACACAGCCACGCTCAGACCGCGACCTTTAAGCTGTTCTCGCACACAGCTTAAAGGTCGCGGTCTGAGCGTGGCTGTGTTCCACTCCAGCGCTGTCCTCGAGACAGCCTGATCCCTTCACCTGATGAAGGCTGCTTGTGTTGTGGCCGAAACGTCGTGATTTTTTGTTGTTTTATTTTTTACCTACGTGCCTTTAGCGAATAGAACCAAAGAGTATACCCCCTAGATTCTATGGTCTTCCCAAGATTCATAAAGAAGGCACCCCACTGCGACCCATCGAATCCACGATCAACTCCCCTACCTATAGACTAGCCCATTTTCCGTCAGATACCTTGCTGCCTTTCACTGGCAAGACCGCCTCAGCAGTACTTAACTCAGCCCAATTGGTCTCTATGGTCAAAGACGTCGTACTGTCCCCTGATGATATCCTTGTCAGCTTCGATGTGGTCTCTTTGTTCACAAAGGTCCCAGTACCTGATACCATTGAAATAATTGAAAATTTGGTCCAACATGGACTAGACCACGATACACCTGCACTGGTTAGGCACTGCCTCAACAATACCTACTTTACTTGGAACGGCTCCTTCTACAAACAAAATGAGGGTACCCCCATGGGGTCCCCCTTGTCACCAGTGATAGCCAATATTTTCATGGAGAAATTTGAATCAGACGCCATCCAGACTTCCACCCTCAGACCTTCCCTGTGGAAGATATATGTAGACGACACTTTCGTCATTTGGCCACATGGCCTCCCGGCTTTGAACCTTTTCCTAGACCACATTAATTCCAGACACCCCGCCATCAAATTCACCATGGAAGTGGAGAAAGATGGCAAGCTGCCATTCTTGGATGTTCTGTTTGAGAGGAGACTTGATGGCTCATTGGGACATTCTGTCTACAGGAAACCCACCCACACAGAGTCCTACTTGAAACCTGATTCCCACCACCACCCGACGCAAAATAATTATCTTATCAAAACGTTATACTACAGGGCTCATTGCATTTCGGACCAACACCACCTGACCAGTGAATTAAAACATGTACATCTGGCCCTAAAAAGGAATGGATACTCTGACCGTACCATCCGCCAAGCTGTTTCTCCCTCCATACAGAAACAACCACTTGATACTCCGATCAAAACCATCACACTACCATATATTGCAGGCGTTACTAAAAATATCTGCAAAATTCTAAACAAACACAAGATCCTGGTCCGGTTCAAGACAGTACACAAAATCCGTGACCTGATCCCTTCCATGAAGGATGTCATTCCTGACTTACAGTACCCCGGAGTTTACAAATTGATCTGCACCTGTGGTGACTGCTATATCGGGGAGACGAAACGACATCTCAATGACCTAATTCGCGAGCACAAATCAGATTTGAAACACGGCAGAACGAATTCTTCTGCCGTAGCTGATCACTGTTACAACACTGTGGGTGATCACGATGTAATTTTCTCCGATACCAAGGTTCTTTGCAAACCCACGGGTTTTTATCAGAGATTTGTTCACGAGGCAAGTCAGATTTACAAACACAGACACAATTTCAACGGAGAGGATGGTTTCAAATTAAGCAACCATTGGAAAGATCTTCTGAATCAAACCAAACATTAAACTAATTTTCAATGGTACATCGTTCATCATGCTAAGTCTGCCAATTAAATGCAAATTTTTATGCAAATTCCTTTGTCAAGGCGCTCTGCTTCCTCTCACACAGCTTAAAGTTCGCGGTCTGAGCTTGGCTGTGCTCACTCCAGCGCTGTCCTCTAGACAGTCTGCTCCCTTCAGCTGATGAAGGCGACTTGTGTTGTGGCCGAAACGTCGTGAATTTTTAAATTTTTAGTTTTTTTACGTGACTTTACCGAATAGAGCCAAAGAGTATGTTACCAATTGTTTTCTTGGTGACTATGGTCCCAGCTGCCTTGAGATCATTGACAAGATACTCCCGTGTAGTTCTGGGCTGATTCCTCACCGTTCTCATGATCACTGCAGCTCCACGAGGTGAGATCTTGCATGGAGCCCCAGGCCGAGGGAGATTGGCAGTTCTTTTGTGTTTCTTCCATTTGCGAATAATCGCACCAACTGTTGTCACCTTCTCACCAAGCTGCTTGGCAATGGTCTTGTAGCCCATGCCAGCCTTGTGCAGCTCTACAATCTTTTCCCTGACATCCTTGGAGAGCTCTTTGGTCTTGGCCATGGTGGAGAGTTTGGAATCTGATTGATTGATTGCTTGTGGACAGGTGTCTTTTATACAGGTAACAAGCTGAGATTAGGAGCACTCCCTTTAAGAGTGTGCTCCTAATCTCAGCTCGTTACCTGTATAAAAGACACCTGGGAGCCAGAAATCTTTCTGATTGAGAGGGGGTCAAATACTTATTTCCCTCATTAAAATGCAAATCAAATTATAATATTTTTGACATGCGTTTTCTGGATTTTCTTGTTATTCTCTCACTGTTCAAATAAACCTACCATTAAAATTATAGACTGATCGTTTCTTTTGTCAGTGGGCAAACGTTCAAAATCAGCAGCGGATCAAATAAGTTTTTTCCCTCACTGTACGTGACTTCACCAAAAGAACCAAATAGTATGGATTCCTGCAGTCACGAAAGCTTCAAATCAAGATTGAAGTTCCTTGATTTGACAGATTTTTTGACGGGTGGATTTATTGGAAGAGTGTAGGATGACTGATGAGAAAAGTTTGTTGAAGTGGTTGGCGATGTTACTGTTGTTTATGATGGATTTGTTTTTGAAAGTGATTGCACAATTGGGTGGCGATTCGGAGTGTCCATCTCAGGGTTTGATGGTCTTCCAAAGTTTTGTTGAGTTTTGGCGGTGGTCAAAATATTCAACAAACTCGTGCCAGTGTTCTGTTTTGGCTCGATTGATTAGTTTTGTGATTTCAATATTGAAGGCTGGGAGTGGTGGTGATGTAGGACTTTAAGTCCTAATAGTGTTTCGTTGGTTTATTAGCGTTGAGGCTTCTTTAGCGAGGCAGGGAAGGTGTTGCTAGCAGTAACCCGCCGGGACGGTGCGCTTAGTGGGAGTTGCGATGATGTTTCTGAAAATCTTTTCGGATGTGTGGATACGGTTGATGTTGTCGGCGAATAATGCTTCTGATTCTGAATTAAAAAGTGGCCAGTTGGCTTTTTTCAAGTTGTAAAACGAGCGGTTTTTAGGAGTTTGTGAAGGCTTGGCGGCATCGAGGGTCAACACAATAGGTAGGTGGTCGGATCCAAGGGCCGTAAAGACTCGCCAGTCGATTGATGAAAGGAGGTCTCCTGACGCTATTGAGATATCTGGTGAGGATGAAGAAGGGCCAGATGACGGAACTCCGGTTTGATTCTTTTCATTGAGTACCCCATAGGGAGAGCTGTTCAAGATGTCGGCAAAGAGGTCGCCACGTGCATCTGAAAGAGAAGAATATATCATCATCAACACCATCATCATCAACATCCTCCTCATCATCACCATCCTCACCACCACCATCATCATCAACACCATCACAATCCTCCTCACCACCATCATCATCAACACCACCATCACCATCCTCACCACCACCATCATCATCAACAACACCACCATCCTCACCAACACCACCACCACCATCCTCACTGTCACCATCATCCTCACCACCACCACCATCCTCACCACCACCATCATCACCATCAACACCATCACCATCCTCACCATCATCAACACCATCACCATCCTCACCATCATCAACACCATCACCATCCTCACCAACACCATCATCATCAACACCATCACCATGCTCACCACCACCACTATCCTCACCAACACCACCATCACCATCCTCACCACACCACCATCCTCACCATCCTCACCAACACCATCATCAACACCATTATCCTCCTCACCATCACCATCCTCACCACCACCATCATCATCAACACCATCGCCATCCTCCTCACCATCATCCTCATCAAACCACCATCCTCACTATCACCATCATTCTCACCACCACCAATACCATCACCATCCTCACCATCATCCTCACCACAAATACCATCACCACCACCATCCTCACCATCATCACCACCATCACCATCCTCACCACCACCATCCTCACCACCATCCTCACCACCACCATCCTCACCATCACCATTCTCACCATCACCACCCTCACCATCACCACCATCCTCACCATCACCACCACCATCCTCACCATCACCACCACCATCCTCACCACCACCATCCTCACCATCACCATCCTCACCATCACCACCATCCTCACCACCACCATCCTCACCACCACCATCCTCACCACCACCATCCTCACCACCACCATCACCACCATCCTCACAACCATCCTCACCATTACCATCCTCACCACCACCATCACCACCATCCTCACAACCATCCTCACCACCACCATCCCCACCATCACCATCCTCACCATCACCACCCTCACCATCACCATCCTCACCACCACTACCCTCACCATCAGGACCATCCTCACCATCCTCACCATCACCACCCTCACCATCACCACCCTCACCATCCTCACCATCACCACCCTCACCATCATCACCACCACCATATTCACCACCATCCTCACCATCACCATCGTCACCATGACCATCCTCACCATCACCATTGTCACCATCATCACCACCACCATCCTCACCATCACCACCACCATCATCCTCACCATCACCATCCTCACCATCACCACCATCCTCACCATCACCACCATCCTCACCACCACCATCCTTACCACCATCATCCTGACCATCACCATCCTCACCATCATCATCCTCACCATTACCATCCTCACCACCACCATCCTCACAACCATCCTCACCATTACCATCCTCACCACCACCATCACCACCATCCTCACAACCATCCTCACCACCATCCTCACCATCACCATCGTCACCATGACCATCCTCACCATCACCATCGTCACCATCATCACCATCCTCACCATCATCACCATCCTCACCATCGTCACCATCACCATCCTCACCATCCTTACCATCGTCATCGTCACCACCATCACCATCATCCTCACCACCATCCTCATCACCATTACCACCATCACCATCATCATCCTCACCACCATCACCATCCTCATCACCATTACCATCATCACCATCACCATCATCCTCATCACCATTACCATTATCACCATCATTATCACCATCATCACCATCCTCATCACCATTACCATCATCACCATCACCAACATCATCACCACCACCATCACCATCCTCATCACCATTACCATCATCACCATCATCACCACCACCACCATCCTCATCACCATCACCACCATCATCGTCACCACCATCACCATCACCCTCATCACCATCACCACCATCCTCACCACCATCACCACCATCATCACCACCATCACCATTATCACCATCACCACCATCCTCATCACCATCATCACCATCCTCACCACCATCACCACCATCCTCATCACCATTACCATCATCACCATCACCACCATCCTCACCTCCTCACCTCCGCAGGCGACTCCAGCCCCTCGTCACCGCCCCCCCAACTCGGCTCCGACATCTCGGTGACGTGACGCCATCGCGACCCAGAACATGACGTCATTGCGACCTAGGACTGCATGCGCGACCCAGGACAACATGACGTCATTGCAACCTAGGACAACATGACGCCAAATCCGGCTTGCACCCACGATTCGCCCATTGCCGAATCGCTTGACCCCGTGACTCCTGACTGGACATCTGTGGCAACAACAACAAACAACAACAAAAAGAGCTTCATAGCTCATCGAATTCCTCTGCCCACCGCAGTCTAAAAAAATAAAGATTCCGATAAAAAAATCGCTTCCCGGATGTTCTGACGGTGACGTCACGACACAGCGCCGCGCGACATGACGTCAAAAAAACGCATTTCCAGCTTTTGAGCGAGTTTATGTTTGACGTCACCGGGACAGGCCAATCAGCAAAATGAATTTACATCACCAGCCATGTTCATACCGCTGCTGCATGAAGCTCCCCCCCCCCTCCCCCATCCAACACAGGACTGCGATTAGACCCATAACATCAGAGCACACTGAAGTACAGTCCAACAGTATCACTAGTGAGACATTGGTAGTGAGACACTGGGTACAGATGTATAGTAGTTAGTGACGTCATGTCACGCTCGCCCTCCGGTACGATGACGTCACATATGGTGACGTCATGGACACGGGGGGGGGGGACGGTGACATCATGTCCCCCTTGGATATTTAGGTCGGGACCCGTGACGTGTTCGAGGTCGTTGCGGGGAGCCAGGAACGGGTAAAGTTTGGAGTTGGCACCCAGGGTAGGGGGAAATTAGCACCAGTCTAGGGTAGCCTGTGGGTGTGCTAGGGACCTCCCCAGTACCCTACCCCTGGGGGAGCGATGGGACCCCGGGGTAGGGGGAAATTAGCACCAGGCTAGGGTAGCCTGTGGGTGTGCTAGGGACCTCCCCAGTACCCTACCCCTGGGGGAGCGATGGGACCCCGGGGTAGGGGGAAATTATCACCAGGCTAGGGTAGCCTGTGGGTGTGCTAGGGACCTCCCTAGTACCCTTGGCCTGGGGAAGCGATGGGACCCCGGGGTAGGGGGAAATTAGCACCAGGCTCGGGGAGTCTGGGGGTGTGTAGGGACCTCCCCAGTACCCTTCTCCTGGGGGAGCGATGGGACCCAGGTTAGGGGGAAATTAGCACCAGGCTCGGGTAGCCTGTGGGTGTGCTAGGGACCTCCCCAGTACCCTACCCCTGGGGGAGCGATGGGACCCAGGTTAGGGGGAAATTAGCACCAGGCTAGGGTAGCCTGTGGGTGTGCTAGGGACCTCCCCAGTACCCTTCTCCTGGGGGAGCGATGGGACCCCTGGGTAGGGGGAAATTATCACCAGGCTAGGGTAGCCTGTGGGTGTGCTAGGGACCTCCCTAGTACCCTTGGCCTGGGGGAGCGATGGGACCCCGGGGTAGGGGGAAATTAGCACCAGGCTCGGGGAGCCTGGGGGTGTGTAGGGACCTCCCCAGTACCCTTCTCCTGGGTGAGCGATGGGACCCAGGTTAGGAGGAAATTAGCACCAGGCTAGGGGAGCCTGGGGGTCTGCTAGGGAATCCCCAGTACCCTTCTCCTGGGGGAGCGATGGGACCCAGGTTAGGGGGAAATTAGCACCAGGCTTGGGGAGCCTGGGGGTGTGTAGGGACCTCCCCAGTACCCTTCCCCTGGGAGTTGGGGTGTAGGCAGTGAGGGGGCAGTACACAGAGTCGTGTGCGGAGAGGTATTTAATAAAACAACTGGCGTGAGCCCCTAATAAAACATGGCGTGAGCCCCTACATGAAGATCTGCCTCCGAGTCGTAATTTATGCCTCAACACAGAGACAGAGACACTGGGTGGTGAGACACGGGTACAGATACACTGGGTAGTGAGACACTGCGAGTGAGACACTGGTAGTGAGACACTGGTAGTGAGACACTGGGTAGTGCAAACCTGTGGACCCATACAGTTTTAGTTGGTATTCTTGTACAGGGGAATTGAGTTTTCAGGTCCACGCGGCGTACAACCGTTTCAATAGACAAACATTTTGTCTTTGTGTTTCTCCCTTGTGATGGGACTTCGTAGGATGAACATTGAGATTTATATGGGGTATCAGGTGACCAGGGGTGGAAAAAACCTTAAACCTCATGGTTTTATTTGCAATACTCCCAGGTCAGTACTAGTCCTCCGACAAGTCCATGTCGTCGCCCTCGGACATAGAACTGCATTCGGCGAACGCTCTTGTGGTAGACCAACTTCTCCACCGAACTGGATGCCAAGCTGTCCCTGAGCTCGCTGTGTATGAAGCCCAAAGTTGAGAAGTTGCGCTCCGAGGCTGCAGAGGATGTCGCCAATCGTGAATAGCTTGACGCCGATCTTCTGAAGATCGGGCCAGGCCACGCCATCAGACTGCCAATACTGCAAAGGTCTTACGTCCCTTGAGTAGCATAATTAATCTGAACCTGCCGGCATCGTTCTGCTGCGCCGAAATGACGTACTCGGTGAGCTGCATAAAGAGTGCCTCTCACTTCTCATTATCAACCGCCGTCTCTTTGTTGATCGGTGTCTCCAGTAAGATGTTCTCCAGCTCTTTTCGATTAGCTGGGCTCAAGCCCTCTCCAATGAAGCGAGGATCTAACGCAAGTCCATGGGCCTTTCCGTACATGAACTGAAAGCGACTTGCTGCCAACTTGATGAGGTAGTTGATCTCTTCAGTGCTCACATGACCGTCTTCGTGCAGCTTGGCAAAACTTCAGCAAGGTGGGCGTGAAAATCCGGCAAGACTTCAGAGACTGGTATGGATTCGGATTGAAATTTGACAATCGATGCGTCGATGGGCGTGAGAATGGCAAGGGACTTCTGCAACAGAGAGACGAAGTTGTCGCTCGTAATGATGGTCTTGATTCGCATGCGCTCTGATTTCTGAGCTGCCGTCCCCTTGATGAAGTCGTGAGCTGTGACAATGGAATGCAGAACCCTCTCCGACGACAACAGCGTCTCGCAACAGCCTTTGATCGTTCCCCAACGTGTAGGAGCCGGACGGACCAACGCTCGAACGCCAGCGATCTTCTGTTCAGCCTGCAGCTGTGCCTTGAGAACGTGACTGTTGTGAAACAATTTGACCGTGTCCGTGCACCCCACGCTATACTCAAGCAGGTACACGAACGGATAGTCAATCGAGTATGTGTGTTCTGTTTGGCCGGCTTTCCTCGTCTTCATGACGGAGAATGTCCTTGACCAGCAAATGCAGACCATGCGGCGTACAGCCTTCGAGAGCTGTTCCCACGCATTCCTGTTGGTGGATGTGTTGTCGCTGACCGCGCCAGCGAATGTAGTCTTCGGATGGGACGCCATCACACGTTCAAGATCCGAGGCGATCCAGTTAGTGTTGTGGCCCTGCTCCCCAGTGGACACCGACTCAAGAAGCAACATTGTGGGCGGCGATGTGACCATGTAGTCCACAATTGGACCATTCTTGATGTTTGACCACGCATCAGATGTCAGGCAAACGGTCCTATTGTCCAGGACGGTGTCAACCTTCTTCATGTCGATGTACGCACTGCTGAGCGATGGTCCGGCCAGCAACTTCCTGTTCGGCAGCACTGCATCTGGGCAAAGGGCCTTGACAGCCATCACCAGGTTCTCTTCCTCGACCCGCTTGACCGACGTGCCTGAGACGAAGAAATGCATTGCTATGGCCTGCTCCAACTTCCCCTTCGTTCGCTTATCGAGCTTGGGTATTAGCCGATCTTTGATCGATCCTTGCTTCATCGACGAAGCGTTCGATGTAGATGGAGTTGAGCTGTCGCTTGCCTTCGATGGCTTCGCCCGCTTCTCGTTTGACGCAGACCACTCGGGACGATAACCTATCTCGGTGCCATTCATTGCCCTCCGAAAAGCGGCGCATGCATTCAGGTGCCTCATCGCCCCGCTCACTCTTCTTGTGATGGTTGAATGTGGTGCGACAATGTTTGCAGCCGGCACTCTTCAACTTGTGCGGTTCCGGATCATCGGTGTAGTGCCAAAACTGGCCCATCGGGCGTCCTCTGGCCTTCCCTGCGTTCGCCAACGCCTCGTTGGCAACTCCATCATTCTCCGCGTCGGCCACTCCATTCTTCTCCATCACAATTACGACATCACTATCACATTCTTCGGAATCGAGTAAATCCTCATCCAGGTTCTGATCCATGATCCTGCTCGTGGTGGAAATTGGGTTCGCTTGATGACGCTGGTAACTCAGGTAATGGCGATATTTATGATTTCCGGGCTCCGGCCTTCCGCAGTCTGTTACTTCAGTCAAAATTCCTGCAAAAACCCAAATGGCGTCTTTTTATAATGAACCTCAAAACCTCACCCTAACTGGCCCTTCGTGATAGGTTTTTTTATTTTAACCTTATCAAAGTTAATTGTTTTAAACCTTATCTTGCCACCCATGGGGGTGACCAACAAGGTCTGAATTTGTAATAAGCCAGCATCAGGACTCAAGGTAGGTTAAATAAAACGGATGTTTCTATTTGCTACTTTATTTTGTTTTATTTACTATGCAGTATTTTGTTTACAGTGTTTCATGCAAATGTACAATATTTCTTCTTGTGAGTTATAACAATGCTTCCATTTTTTGTTTAACCGTAACGCATTTCGTATGGACATTTAAAAGACAGTACATAATTGTGTTGTGACCTATGAACTGTTCAACTTACGAATGGGCCTCAGGAACTACCGTAATTGTGTTCGTAAGTTGAGCACTGCTCGAATGTTGAACTTTTTTCGTGCCAACTGTGCTTCTTGGAGATACGAGATGCAGTCAGATGCAGTCGGCCGGACCCCGACGCCTTCCTTCAGTTATCAAAAGACTGCTGTGATAACCCTGGAGTTTCCATTCCGCCACCTCCGATTAGCATGGTTGGCTTGTTCAACATCCATACCGATCTACGTGACTTTACCGAAAGACCGAAAGAGTACAAGTATTCATACCTGTTTCTAGGTAAGGCCCACTAAGAGACCTGGCCACAAATAATAGCTCAACGGAGTGGCTTATCATCACGTGGAAATTCATAGCGGCAGACAAATCCTCTAAACGCGCGGCGATGTTGATTCCACTGTGAACATTTTTTTTGTTCCTGGGTAGTGTTATTTCCTAATTACTTATGCCTCAAAAGTACAGAAAGTAGCAATTATTCCCCACAAACTTTGCTTTTGTGACCAGGACAGTGATATTTGGAAAACTACCTATTATCAATGAGAAAACGGGCGAATTTGTGTCTTTTTGTTCACAAAGTCAGAAGAAACCAACATGAATCAAAATGAACATGTATTTATACTAAAGTAATACAAAAATGACTACAAAAGATTGAGACACCAATGCGGAAGAACCACAGGCGGGACTGGCCACAGCGAACCGAGTTCTCTGATAGGGAGGAACAAGGTCAAGTGGGAACCACTGGTGGACCCCCGGAAGGTTGCGATGCCACCACTGCACATCAAATTGGGCCTTATGAAACAATTTGTCAGAGCTGTAGATAAGGAGTTGGCAGCCTTCAAGTACCTTCAAGACTTTTTCCCTAAGCTGTCCGAGGCAAAGGTCAAAGCCGGTGTCTTCGTCGGACCACAGATAAAGAAGATTCTCGAGTACAATTAATTCCCCAAGAAGCTCACGAGTAAGGAGAAAGCGGCTTGGAACAGCTTTGTTGCAGTGGTTCGTGGCTTCCGGGGCAATCACAAGGTCGAAAACTACGTTGAGCTGGTTGAGATTCTGGTGAAGAACTACGGCACAATGAGCTATAGGATGTCCCTCAAAGTCCATATCCTTGATCCTCATATTAAAAAATTCAAGAACATGGGAGTGTGCTCGGAGGAGCAAGGCGAGTGCTTCCACCAGGATATACTGGACTTTGAACGAGAACATGATGGAAAACTACATTTGGGGGCTGATTTGTGAAGGTGATTTACAGTATAATCGTAAATCTCGAAATACTACTCACTTGTAAATCATTTGTAGTCATGTTTGTATTACTTTAGTATAAACACGTTAATTAGATTCATGTTGTTCTTTTTCTGACTTTATGTGAACGAAAAGACACAAATTCACCCCTTTTCTAATTGAAAATAGGTAATTTTCAGAAGATCACTGTCCTAGTCACAAACGCAAAGTTTGTGGGGAATAACAGCCATTTTCTAAACTTTTTAGGTATAAGCAATTACGAAATAACATTTACTACCCAGGAACAAACATTGTTACATAATTTTCTAAATGTGGAGGAAAACCCAAAAAACCCAGAGAAAAATCCACGCAACCACGGGGAGAGGGAGGCATGCAAACTCCAAATATACAAAAGGCGTCGCGGTCGGGATCAGACCCACGATCTCCTGCATAATAGGCGAGGGAGTTAATATCTCACCAACTCTCAAAAGGCCCAGGCTTACCGCTCGACCCCCCCCCCCCCCCGTGAACATCTGAACATGGATTCACCGTGAAGGGCTGTCGATGACCACCGGGCATGGTTTGAAGGACACAATCTCAGGTGTAAGTCGACGGGACCGTGTGTCTCTCCCGCCCCGGGGAGCTGCCAGACGTGGTTCTTGCTGGAGTGTGGCGCTCTGGCCATGTCTTGAAGACAGAGGGTGGCTTTCCATCCGTGCAAAAAAGCTTCATAGGTTATCGGATTTCTCCAGGATAAATAAAGATTCTGATTCTGATTTCTTGCCACAGAGGATCCTCCAGTGTTTGACGAGTGGAGCGTTAAATCTTCAAAAAGTATCAAGACGGGGATTAGCGCTGCATAAAACTGCATTTGCAAATGTGATTTGTAACTTTCACCTTTAGCCGCACGTCCGATTAGCACGGTTGGCTGTGCACGGTGCGAAAGAAGTTCAACATACATACATCGATAGTTCACTTTTAATGCGCCAATTTTATTGAGGGACTGTGTGTTGTCTTGGTGTGTTCTGGGACTGTTTTCGATGTTGTTTTGCTGCCTTGCCTAAGCTTGGGAAATTGGTGCACTTATGCAATTAGAACTTATACTTTATCTATTTAATTTATTTTAGTGACTTGCTTACCTTTCCAATACATTGCACTCCTATCGTGTTGCTGTACTGTTTGCTGTTGCAACTTTATGACCTGCCCTGCCCCTATTTGACATCTGTGAAAAAGAGCGTCATTACTCATCGGATTTCTCCAGGATAAATATTCTGAATCCGAATGTGTTTTCATCTCACGCACACACACGCACACACATGCACGCACACATGCACACACGTCGCGTCTGTGAATTACGGCAGATACATGTTTGGAAATAATCTAAGAAGTTAATTTCGCCACGAGTGTCCTCATCTCACACCACGCATGAGGAACTTCTAGCAAATTTCCAGACCACGCGGGTTTGTACCCATGTCACTGTCCTCCTGCTGCTGCCTAATGTTTGATGACGTTGCATTCTGCTCCTTGTGCGACCTCTCGTGCTGACGCAGGTTGTCCAGCTCTGTGAACGCCTCACCGCACTCTGAACACAGAAGTGGCTTCTGCTCGTGAGACCTCTCGTGTCGACGCAGGCTGTCCAGCTCTGTGAACGCCTCACCGCACTCTGAACACAGCAGTGGCTTCTGCTCGTGCGACCTCTCGTGCTGACGCAGGCTGTCCAGCTCCGTGAACGCCTCGCCGCACTCTGAACACAGCAGTGGCTTCTGCTCCTCGTGAGTTCTCTCGTGCTGACGCAGGCTGTCCAGCTCCGTGAACACCTCGCCGCACTCGGAGCACACGTGCGGCGCGTCGTTGGTGTGCGTCTTCTCGTGGGTATGGAGGGCGCCCAGCCTGGTGTACGACCTCTCGCATCGCTTGCACTTGTAGTCTTTCTTCTTACAAAGGTGAACCCTCTGGTGGCTGCACAGGTCCTTGGCGTGCGTGAACACCTTGTCACACACCGTGCACACGTACGGCCGCTCGTCGGCGTGCGTCATCTCGTGGCACTCAAGGAACCGCAGGTTGGCGAAGACCTTGCCGCACGCGCCGCACTCGAATGGCTTCTTGCCGTTGTGCACCGCCCGGTGGTTCTGAACGCTCTGCAGGGTGGCGAACACCTTGGTGCACACGGGGCACTTGTAGGTCTTCTCGGAGGTGTGCGACTTCTCGTGCGATCTGAGGGTGCCCAAGTGCGCGAAAACCTTGCCGCACGTAGCGCACTTGTTGGGCTTCTCGGAGGTGTGCGACTTCTCGTGCCTTCTGAGCTTGCCAAAGTGCGCGAAAACATTGCCGCACGTAGAGCACTTGTAGGGCTTCTCGCCCGTGTGAATCCTCTCGTGGATGCTGAGCGTGCGCCGGCAGTAGGTGCTGTAGGAGCACCACCCGCACTGGAAGTACTCCACCCCGATCTGCCGCCCGTGTTGCTTCATGTGGTCCTGCAGCGCTGCGTGGCTGATGAGCACCCACTTGCACAGCGGGCACTGCAGCAGCTTCCCCTCGTCCGACATCGCGCCCTGCAAGTGGGGGGGTGGGGTACAAGCACGCACGTGTCGACGTGTGTACGTTGAACTTATTTATCACCGTACGTAGCGTATAGTGTATAGTTGGGTAATGTAGCCCGCATGCCCAGCCACCGCATGCCTAAACAGCTTTTGTTCGGCCGGTTAGAGGCGTCTAAATGGGTGCGGCACTGGCTAACGAAGAGATGGAGTGATGTGGTACAGGAGGATGTGGAGCTGAGTGGACTTGCCGATGACCGGTACCAGCGGTGCCGTTGCCGATCATTGTTTTTACGCTGTGGGCTCACACGAAATTAATTTTTCCAAGACGGAGGTACTCTTTAAACCTACCGGCTACCGTCAGACATTTGTTCATGAAGCCATCCAGATATATAAACACAGACAACACAACTTCAACCGAGAGGATGGGTACAAACTGAGCAATCATTGGAAGGACGTTATTAACCAGGTAAAGTCTTCACTGACTGTGATGTGTCCATGCAACTTGCCTATGGCAGCTGTTATTTCGACTCTCTGTATCTCTATGCCTCTCTCTTAGATCTCTCATGTTCAAATGTCCGTTGCATTGCACTCTCATGCCTTTGGATTGCACTCTCATGCCCACATGTCTTTCGGATTACACTCTCATACTCACAGGCCCTTTGGATTACACCCGTTGAGTTGCACTCCCTCGTCGAGGAGGCAGCTCTCCTTTTCTACAGTTACATGCTAATCTCTCACATTAACATCATGCCAATCTCTCACATTAACATGCTAATCCCTCACATTAACATAGCCACTTCCATGCCCTCTAATTTCTCACATTAACATCATGCTGTCTCACATTAACATCATGCTAACATCTCACATTAACATTATGCTAATCTCTCACATTAACATAGCCACTTCCGTGCCCTCTAATTTCTCACATTAACATCAACAGCCCCCGGACACTTCTCTATGACACTTGAGCTGCACCCATTTCAAACCTTTTAAAACAGCCTGTCCCAGCAGCAGGCCACGCTTTCCCACCTGACGACGGACGCTTGTGTTGTGCCCGAAACGTCGTGATTTATTTTATTTTATACCTACAGTATGTGCTTTCTTGAGCAGGGGGACCTTGCGGGCGCTGCAGGATTTTAGTCCTTCACGGCGTAGTGTGTTACCAATTGTTTTCTTGGTGACTATGGTCCCAGCTGCCTTGAGATCATTGACAAGATACTCCCGTGTAGCTCTGGTGAGATCTTGCATGGAGCCCCAGGCCGAGGGAGATTGGCAGTTCTTTTGTGTTTTTCCCATTTGCGAATAATCGCACCAACTGTTGTCACCTTCTCACCAAGCTGCTTGGCAATGGTCTTGTAGCCCATTCCAGCCTAGTGTAGCTCTACAATCTTGTCCCTGACATTCTTGGGGAGCTCTTTGGTCTTGGCCATGGTGGAGAGTTTGGAATCTGATTGATTGATTGCTTCTGTGGACAGGTGTCTTTTATACAGGTAACAAGCTGAGATTAGGAGCACTCCCTTTAAGAGTGTGCTCCTAATCTCAGCTCGTTACCTGTATAAAAGACACCTGAGAGCCAGAAATCTTTCTGATTGAGAGGGGGTCAAATACTTATTTCCCTCATTAAAATGCAACTCAATTTATAACATTTTTGACATGCGTTTTTCTGGATTTTGTTGTTGTTATTCTGTCTCTCACTGTTCAAATAAACCTACCATTAAAATTATAGACTGATCATTTCTTTGTCAGTGGGCAAACGTACAAAATCAGCAGGGGATCAAATACTTTTTTCCCTCACTGTACGTGACTTCACCGAAAGAACCAAAGAGTATGGATTCCTGCAGTCACGAAAGCTTCAAATCAAGATTGAAGTTCCTTGGTTTGACAGATTTTATGACGGCTGGATTTATTAGAAGAGTGTGGGACGACTGATGAGAAAAGTTTGTTGAAGTGGTTGGCGATGTTATTGTTGTTTGATGGATTTGTTTTTGAAAGTGATTGCACAATTGGGTGGCGATTTGGAGTGTCCATCTCAGGGTTTGATGGTCTTCCAAAGTTTTGTTGAGTTTTTGCGGTGGTCAAAAGATTCAACAAACTCGTGCCAGCGTTCTGTTTTGGCTCGATTGATTAGCTTTGTGATTTCAATATTGAAGGCTGGGAGTGAGTGGTGGTGATGTAGGATTTTTAGTCCTAATAGTGTTTCGTTGGTTTATTAGCGTCGAGGCTTCTTTAGAGAGGCACAGGTGTTGCTTGCAGCAACCCGCCGGGACGGGGCGCTTAGTGGGAGTTGCGATGATGTTTCTGAAAATCTTTTCGGATGTGTGGATATGGTTGATGTTGTCGGCGAATAATGCTTCTGATTCTGAAGTAAAAAGTGGCCAGTTAGCTTTTTGAAAGTTGTAAAACGAGCGGTTTTTAGGAGTTTGTGAAGGCTTGGTGGCATCGAGGGTCAACACGATAGGTAGGTGGTCCGATCCAAGGGCCGTAATGACTCGCCAGTCGATTGATGAAAGGAGGTTTCCTGACGCTATTGAGATCTGGTGAGGATGAAGAAGGGCCAGATGACGGAACTCCGGTTTGATTCTTTTCATTGAGTACCCCATAGGGGGAGCCGTTCAAGATGTCGGCAAAGAGGTTGCCACATGCATCTGAAAGGGAAGAGTTATCATCGGCAAAACCATTATCCTCCTCACCATCACCATCCTCACCGACACCACCACCACCATCCTCACCATCCTCATCATCATCATCAACACCATCATCACCATCTTAACCATCACCATCCTCACCATCACCATCTTCACCATCATCCTTACCACCACCATCCTCACCATCATCACCATCATCACCATCCTCACTATAACCATCATTCTCACTACCACCATCATCACCACCATCCTCACCATCACCATCCTCACCATCACCATCCTCACCATCAACACAATCCTCACCATCATCCTCACCATCATCATCACCATCCTCACCATCATCATCACCATCCTCACCATCATCCTCACCACCACCATCCTCATCACACTACCATCCTCACCATCATCCTCACCATCATCATCCTCACCATCATCACCAACACCACCACCACCATCCTCACCATACCACCATCCTCACCATCATCTTCACCATCATTCTCACTACCACCACCAATACCATCACCATCCTCACCATCATCCTCACCACAAATACCATCACCACCACCATCCTCACCATCATCACCACCACCATCCTAACCACCACCATCCTCACCATCATCACCATCCTCGTGTGAGACCTCTCGTGCTGACGCAGGCTGTCCAGCTCCGTGAACGCCTCGCCGCACTCTGAACACAGCAGTGGCTTCTGGTCCTTGTGAGTCCTCTCGTGCTGACGCAGGCTGTCCAGCTCCGTGAACGCCTCACCGCACTCTGAACACAGCAGTGGCTTCTGGTCCTTGTGAGTCCTCTCGTGCTGACGCAGGCTGTCCAGCTCCGTGAACGCCTCGCCACACTCTGAGCACAGCAGTGGCTTCTGTTCCTCGTGAGTCCTCTCGTGCTGATGCAGGCTGTCCAGCTCCGTGAACGCCTCGCCGCACTCTGAACACAGCAGTGGCTTCTGGTCCTCGTGAGACCTCTCGTGCTGACGCAGGCTGTCCAGCTCCGTGAACGCCTCACCGCACTCTGAACACAGCAGTGGTTTCTGCTCCTTGTGAGATCTCTCGTGCTGACGCAGACTGTCCAGCTCCGTGTGAATCCTCTCATGCCGACGCAGGCTGTCCAGCTCCGTGAACGCCTCGCCACACTCTGAGCACAGCAGTGGCTTCTGTTCCTCGTGAGTCCTCTCGTGCTGACGCAGGCTGTCCAGCTCCGTGAACGCCTCGCCGCACTCTGAACACAGCAGTGGCTTCTGTTCCTCGTGAGTCCTCTCGTGCTGACGGAGGCTGTCCAGCTCAGTGAACACCTCGCCGCACTCGGAGCACACGTGCGGCGCGTCGTTGGCGTGCGTCTTCTCGTGGGTACGGAGGGCGCCCAGCCTGGTGTACGACCTCTCGCATCGCTTGCACTTGTAGCCCTTCCTCTTACAAAGGTGAACCCTCTGGTGGCTGCACAGGTCCTTGGCGTGCGTGAACACCTTGTCACACACCGTGCACACGTACGGCCGCTCGTCGGCGTGCGTCATCTCGTGGCACTCAAGGAACCGCAGGTTGGCGAACACCTTGCCGCACGCGCCGCACTCGAACGGCTTCTTGCCGTTGTGCACCGCCCGGTGGCTCTGAACACCTTGGTGCACACGGGGCACTTGTAGGTCTTCTCGGAGGTGTGCGACTTCTCGTGCGATCTGAGGGTGCCCAAGTTCACGAAAACCTTGCCGCACGTAGCGCACTTGTTGGGCTTCTCGGAGGTGTGCGTCCGCTTGTGCTTATTGAGCGGTCCCATCTCGGTGAAGGCCTTGCCGCACGTAGCGCACTTGTAGGGCTTCTCGCCCGTGTGGATCCTCTCGTGGATGCTGAGCGTGCGCCGGCAGTAGGTGCTGTAGGAGCACCACCCGCACTGGAAGTACTCCACCCCGATCTGCCGCCCGTGCTGCTTCATGTGGTCCTGCAGCGCCGCGTGGCTGATGAGCACCCACTTGCACAGCGGGCACTGCAGCAGCTTTCCCTCGTCCGACATCGTGCCCTGCAACTGGGGGGGTGGCGGGGGGGGTACAAGCACGCGCGTGTCGACGTGTGTACGTTGAACTTATTTATCACCGTACGTAGCGTATAGTGTATAGTTGGGTCATGTAGCCCGCATGCCCAGCCACCGCATGCCTAAACAGCTTTTGTTCGGCCGGTTAGAGGCGTATAAATGGGCGCGGCACTGGCTTGAAAAGAGATGGAGTGATGTGGTACAGGAGGATGTGGAGATGAGTGGACTTGCCGATGACCGGTACCAGCGGCTGGAGTTGCCGATCATTGTTTTAACGCTGTGGGTTCACACGATATTGATTTTTCCAAGAAGGAGATACTCTGCAAACCTACCGGCTACCGTCAGAGATTTGTTCATGAAGCCATCCAGATATATAAACACAGACAACACAACTTCAACCGAGAGGATGGGTACAAACTGAGCAATCATTGGAAGGACGTTATTAACCAGGTAAAGTCTTCACTGACTGTGATGTGTCCATGCAACTTGCCTATGTCAGCTGTTATTTCGACTCTGTATTTCTCTCTCTCTATGCATCTCTCTTAGATCTCTCATGCTCACATGGCCGCTGCATTGCACTCTCATGCCTTTGGATTGCACTCTCATGCTCACAGGCCCTTTGGATTACACCCATTGGGTTGCACTCCCACGTCAAGGAGGCCGCTCTCCTTTTCTACAGTTACATGCTAATCTCTCACATTAACACCTGCTAATCCCTGACATTAACATAGCCACTTCCGTGCCCTCTAATCTCTCACATTAACATCATGCCAATCTCTCACATTAACATAGCCACTTCCGTGCCCTCTAATTTCTCACATTAACATCACTAGCCCCGGCCACTTCTCTATGACCCTTGGGCTACACCCATTTCAAACCTTTTAAAAGTCTGCCCCAGCAGCAGGCCACGCTTTCCCACTTGACGACGGACGCTTGTGTTGCGCCTGAAACGTCGTCATTTATTTTATTTTTAAGAGTGTGCTCCTAATCTCAGCTCGTTACCTGTACAAAAGACACCTGGGAGCCAGAAGATTTTCTGATTGAGAGGGGGTCAAATACTTATTTCCCTCATTAAAATGCAAATCAATTTATAACATTTTTGACATGCGTTTTTCTGGATTTTGTTGTTATTCTGTCAACACAATAGGTAGGTGGTCGGATCCAAGGGCCGTAAAGACTTGCCAGTCGATTGATGAAAGGAGGTCTCCTGACGTTATTGAGATATCTGGTGAGGAGGAAGAAGGGCCAGATGACGGAACTCCGGTTTGATTCTTTTCACTGAGAACTCCATAGGGGGGGCCTTTCAAGATGTCGGCAAAGAGGTCGCCACGTGCATCTGAAAGGGAAGAGTTTATCATCATCAACACCATCATCCTCACCATCCTCACCACAACCACCATCCTCACTTATCACCATGATTCTCACTACCACCACCACAATACCATCACCATCCTCACCACAAATACCATCACTACCACCATCCTCACCATCCTCACCATCATCCTCACCACCATCACCAACACCACCACCACCATCCTCACGATCACCATCATTCTCACTACCACCACCACCAATACCATCACCATCCTCACCACAAATACCATCAACAGCATCCCACCATCACCATCCTCACCACCACCACCATCCTCACCATCATCCTCACCATCATCATCATCCTCACCATCATCACCATCATCATCCTCACCATCATCACCATCCTCACCACACCACCATCATTCTCACTACCACCACCACTATCCTCACCATCCTATCACCATCATTCTCACTACCACCACCACCACTACCATCACCATCCTCACCATCATCCTCACCACAAACACCATCACTACTACCATCCTCACCATCATCACCACCACCATCACCTTCCTCACCACAAATACCATCACTACCACCATCCTCACCATCATCCTCACCACCACCACCACCATCCTCACCATCCTCACCATCACCATCCTCACCATCACCATCCTCACCATCACCACCATACTCACCATCACCATCCTCACCATCGTCACCATCATCACCATCACTACCATCACCACCATACTCACCATCACCATCGTCACCATCCTCACCATCATCACCATCGTCACCATCCCCATCCTCACCATCATCATCCTCACCATCACCATCATACTCACCATCACCATACTCACCATCCTCACCATCACCACCATACTCACCATCCTCATCATGAATTCACATGATGAGGATGATGGAAAGCCTAACACGCTTTCGCTCATTGTTTTTCAGAGCCGTGTCTGAGCAGAGGGCCCGAAGTGCTCCCAAACTCCCGATCGACCAGCAAACAAACGGCATCGGAATTTTTATTTTGTGCTGGAGGGAATGCTTTGAGCTCCAAAAGCTCTTTCAGTTCCGCGCGCACACGGTCCAGTCGACAAGATCTGGCCCACGCGCGCTCTGGACACGTAACAACATCAATATTCTTGGTTCTTTCGGTAAAGTCACGTAGGAAGGGAAACAATAAAATAATACAAATATATAAAACATTTTTTTTATTATTTTATTGTTTCCGTTATTGGTTCTTTCGGTAAAGTCACGTAGAAAGGGAAACAATAAAATAATACAAATATATAAAACATTTTTCATTATTTTATTGTTTCCGTTATTGGTTCTTTCGGTAAAGTCACGTAGAAAGGGAAACAATAAAATAATACAAATATATAAAACATATTTTTAATTATTTTATTGTTTCCGTTATTGGTTCTTTCGGTAAAGTCACGTAGAAAGGGAAACAATAAAATAATACAAATATATAAAACATATTTTTATTATTTTATTGTTTCCGTTATTGGTTCTTTCGGTAAAGTCACGTAGAAAGGGAAACAATAAAATAATACAAATATATAAAACATATTTTTATAATTTTATTGTTTCCGTTATTGGTTCTTTCGGTAAAGTCACGTAGAAAGGGAAACAATAAAATATATAAAACATATATTTTTTTATTATTTTATTGTTTCCCTTCTACGTGGTGGTGGTGGTGACTTTACCGAAAGCACCAAAGAATACGAATCCCCGCAGTCACGAAAGCTTTAAATCAAAGCAACGTCAATGCGAATCCACTTGACGATCGGGGCGTTATATTGAACATGCTTCACCACGCCGGCCGGGGGTGGGTTTGTGAAGGCGTGGGACCATAGAAGTCCTATCGTGTGCAGTACAACAATGTGCTTTGGCCCCAACGGCCTCTGCCATCACACCACGTGGCTCCGCGGAATGTCGCCGCGAACGCCCGTCATGCACGGCGGTCGTCCATCCGAGCACGGTCACATGGTCACTTTCAGATGCTTTTCTTGTTCCTGTTTTGGTTTTAGTTTGCTTGTTTGTTTGTTGTGGTTGCACCCGATTCAAGAGACGAATGGCACACAGGGCTATAGCAAAATAAATCAACAACGAACCACCACCGTCGCCACCATCCTCGCCACCATCATCCTCACCATCGTCACCATCCTCGCCATCACCACCATCATCCTCAGGATCGTCACCATCACCATCATCACAATCACCACCATCCTCACCATCGCCACCATCCTCACCACCACCACCATCCTCACCATCGCCGCCATCCTCACCATCACCGCCATCCTCACCACCACCATCATCACCACCATCGTCACCATCACCACCATCATCACCACCATCGTCACCATCACCACCATCCTCACCATCCTCATCATCCTCACCATCATCACCATCCTCACCGCCATCCTCACCATCACCACCATTCTCACCATCACCACCATCATCACCACCATTCTCACCATCATCATCACCATCGTCACCATCACCACCACCATCCTCACCTCCTTCTCACCTCCGCAGGCGACTCCAGCCCCTCGTCACCGCCCCCCCCAACTCGGCTCCGACATCCCAGTGACGTGACGCCATCGCGACCCAGAACATGACGCCAATGCTACCTAGGACAACATGACGTCATTGCGACCCAGGCCAACATGACGCCAAATCCGGCGTGCGCCCACGATCCGCCCATTGCCGAATCGCTTGACCCCGTGACCCCTGACCGGACATCTGTGGCAACAACAAAAAGAGCTTCATAGTTCATCGAATTCCTCCGCCGACCGCAGTCTAAAAAAATAAAGATTCCGATTAAAAAATAAAGCGTTTCCCGGATGTTCTGACGGTGACGTCACGACACAGCGCGGTGACATG